GAGCATACCATTGCCTTGAGGCCTGTTTTAGTCCATAGAGTGATTTCTTCAATAAACATACCTGATTAGGATGAGAGGGAGTGAGATTAGCTGGAAATTTCATATACACCTCTTCCTGTAGATCTCCATGCAGAAATGCATTGTTAACATCCAGTTGTGAGACCTCCCAACCTTTCTTAATAGCTACAGTCAATAAGCATCTAATAGTGGTCATCTTGACTACTAGACTAAAAGTCTCAGAATAATCAATGCCTTCCCTTTGTATATCCCCCCTGACAACCAACCTGGCTTTTAACCTTTCAATTGACCCATCTGATTTGTGCTTGACCTTGTAAACCCATTTACAAGGCAATGCCTTCTTGCCTGGGGGTAAAGAGACAACATCCAGGTGTGATTGAGTTGAAGAGCTTGAATTTCAGCTTCCATAGCTTTTCTCCATCCATGATCTTGGAAAACTTGAGTATAGCTGGTAGGCTAAAAAACTGTAGAGATAGATTTGAAAATAGCCTGATTGTTGAGAGAAAGGGCTCCAAAAGAAAACACATTAGGATGAGAGACATGATGAAAACAAGATGAGGTAAGATCAGAGAAAACAATGCTATTGCAGACATAGTCATTAAGATAGGTAGGTTTCTGGAAAACCCTCTCAGATTTTCTTAGAGGAGGTGGTGGTATTGGGATTGTAGGATGTGAACTAGAGTAATCAGTAGGAGATGGAGTATGAAAAAGAGAATATGAGGGGCTAGTAACAGATAGAGGAGTTCCAGGATTATTGAGAGAAATAAAGGTGCTATTCTCAGAAGTATTTAGATGTAGAGGGTCAAGAGAGTGTGACTGATGATTAGTGGTTGAGTTAGTAGATAGAAAATCCTGAGAAGTGGTTTCAGTAGTGGTAGACGAGTGAGGGAGGAAAGGATAAGGGGGCAAAGGCGAGGATGGGGTTAGAGGAGCAGAAACAAATGGAAAAATTGCTTCATGGAATTTAATATCTCTTGAGATAAATACCTTCTTAGAATGTAACTCTAGCAATTTGTATCCTTTCTGATGCTGTGCATATCCCAGAAAAATACAAGCTTGTGCCCTGGGATCAAATTTGCTTCTGTGTTGTGATAAAGTAGAGGCATAGCATACGCATCCAAATGACTTGAGTTGTTCATACTATGGACTCCTTTTAAACAAAATCTCATAAGGTATTTTTCCTTTTAGAACTCTAGAAGGAAACCTATTGATTAGATATATAGTAGTCAAAATACACTCTCCCCAATATTGAATAGGAACTTGTGACTGAAAATACAATCATCTTGCCACTTTCAAAAGGTGCCTATATTTTCTTTTAACTACCCCATTCTGCTGGGGAGTTTCTACACATGAAGTCTCATGTAAGATGCCTTGAGACTGAAAGAAATCAGACTGAAAAGATTCCTTCCCTAGTTCCATTATATTATCAGATCTGATTCTTTTAACTTTCCTTGCAAATTGTCTCTCCACCATAACTAAGAAAGATTGTAAGATAGTGAAAGCATTGCTTTTGGAACTTAAAAGAAAAGTCCAAGTTCTCCTACTAAAATCATCAACCACAGTCAAGAAATATTTATATCCATTATAAGTGGTATTTTTGAATGGTCCCCATACATCAATATGAATAAGATCAAAAATTCTATGAGTTCTGATTTGACTCAAAGGAAAAGGTAATCTAGTTTGTCTAGCTTTTGGACAAATATCACACACAAAATTGAAATTGGAAGAAAAATGAATGAACTGAAGATTTTTCATTACTGAGAATGGCAGATGCCCCAATCTAACATGCCATTGGAGTACATTAGAGTCCTCTGTATTGGAATTAGAAACAGAACAAGAAACTTCACTAGGAACTAAGAATGGAATCATTTCCTTGTGGAATTAAAAATACATTCGTATTTAAACTAGAACCAGAATGTATCTTAGGTGGGCTAGGCTCCACCAGGTACAATCCTCCTCTTAATTCACCAAAAACTTATCCCCTCCTTATTAAAGGGACCTGCATGATGCATCCACTAGAAGTTAGATTGAGTGAGCAATGAAGCTGGATACACAACTTATGGACTGAGAGTAAATTATATTTGAAGGAAGGAACATAAAGAACCCTTTCAAGAATCATATCAAATCGAATAGGAACGCTACCTATGTGTGTGACATATAATTGAAATGAGTTAGGTAGGCTAATATGTACATGAATAGGAAGTGGATCTAAAGTTAAGAAACAATTTGAATCAAAACACATGTGTTCAGAAGTCCCTGAATCAATGATCAGGTTTTTGTGTTAAAAGCTGCCAAACAAGTTTCAGTATATTTAAGTATAGTACCAGCTACTGCATTTGTATTGATTGCAGTTCCTGATGTTGCTATATTTCCAAATTGTGCCTGCTTGATTAGGTTCATCAGCTCAGACACCTGTTTCTTACTGAAAAACTGAGTTTGAGGTGTTGCATCATTGCTTTGAGTGCTCCCATTGTCATTGTCTTGTCCCTCAATTATAGCATTAGCCTTGACTTGTGTTGATCTGGTGAATTAGAAATCATCTGGAAACCCATTTAGCCTGTAACAGTCTACCCTGACATGCCCAGTTTTCATGCAATGGTACAACTCACATTAGGATTAAATTTTGCTTTCCTTCCCTTAGGTTTCTGCTGTGTGTTATTAACCTTTTGTGAGTTAGTCCATGACTTTTGTTGTGACTGATTGTTGTTTCTCTGTGGAGACTTACTTTGAATTCCTACCATAAATGAGGAAGCATCAGCATTGAACTGTGGTCTTGTATATATCTCTCTTTGATTTTAATCTTGAAGAAGGAGAGAATAAGTAAAATCTATTCCAGACAATGAATTCATCATAAGGATGTTTCCTCTTGCCTAGGAATAGACATCATTTAGTCCCATTAGAAACTGAATGATCCTTTGGTCTTCTAAGAACTTTGTGACTTTCCTTTTTCCATCACAAATACAGTCACAAGAGCAGATCAGATGAGAGTTGAGAGAATTAAGTTCATCCCATAATTTCTTAAGTGTGGTAATTACCTTGAACTAACATTGATATTTCCTTTTGCAGTTGGTGTAACTTGGCTCCATTAGTTTGTCCAAAACTGTGTTCAAGGCTATTCCACAAATCTTTTACAGATTTTGAATAGATGACACTGTCGCCTCTGTCCTTGCATAAAGAATTCAGAAGCCAAGAAGTCATCATGAAGTTGCATCTGCTCCATTGAGGGTGATCTTATGCATCGGGTTTTGGCTCCTCACATACCCCATTTATGAAGCCTATCTTGTTTTTGGCTGCAAGTGCTATGAGGATTGATCTCCTCCATCCTGCAAAGCCTCTACCATCAAAATATGTGGCAAAAGCCTCAAACCAGGAGTATCAGATGAGTGAAGGAAATAAGGATGATTCACATCATGTGAAATTGTTTGACTGGTTGAGCCAGAGGCAATGAGAGTAGAGGGAGTTGGAAGATTTTCTTCTTCTGCCATAGTTGAATACTATATTCTGAGAAAAAAGAGATTTGGATCGAGCTATTGCTGCTCTGATACCATAAAAGAAAACAAAAAGGAATTGTGGAAAATCTACTCTGTCCTGTATTGATAATATAAATCCCTATATATACAAATTTATCCTACTGTAAATAACAAATAAAGAATATTCCTATACACTTGTACTACTCCTATTTGTCTATTATGTAACAGAAAAATTATAAATTATTCTTTTCCATGTGCTCATGTGAGAAGCACGTGAGATTTGCTTCTTGAATCATCCTTATGTACAGGTGTTTAAAATATTGATCAGATGGTTGAGAATAAAGGATCATGACCGTCCATAATTCTTCCACGTGCAGGGTTGAGCTACAATTGATAAAACACTTAGGCAACATAACATAGAGAAGTCCGAAATTCTAAGTGCTGTGTCTGAAATGTTTCTTCTTCTTCCTTCCCTTTTCTGTGTGAAAATGGCTGTGAAGAAGATGGTTTCTCTTCATCAGATACTAAGAAGGAACCGTATCAAATTATCTTCTTTCTGGAGGAGTGATGTAATTCCATAAGATTGAGTTAATTAACCTCTTGAGCATTGAAATAAATTTAAGCTAATCTTTTTCTGAAAAAGAGAAAAATTAGATTGAAATCTGTTTTGCATAAAATCTGAGATATGCTTTATGTGTCTAAAGTTAACAAATCTGAGTAATTTGGTACCAATACTGCTACGAGATAGTAGGTATTATTTAAAATTCGTTGAGGTGCGCACCAACTAACAAGTATAAAAAACGAAGTTGACAGATGTTCATATATTTAGCTTTTTCAGCTACAAACAAAGCATATTACCTAAAATAATTCGTCGGATGATTAGATAATAGAAAAAGGTTCCACTATAGTTACTGTACTTGCCTTCGTCTAACATATCATAAACCATAAATCTCTAAAATACAATATGAGATAACTTAAATTCTTCTAAAATGTCATCACATTTAATTTTTTTAACGGCTTCCCATAACTTTTCAAAAAGGAAATAAGTCATATTTACTCTATGGAAATCATATTATAACCCATAAATCTCTTAAATATAATCTGAGAAGTAACATTTTAATTCTTCTAAAATGTCATTACAATTAATTATCCAACCCACTTCATAACTTTTCAAAAATGAAATAAGTCATCTCTGTTCTATGGAAAGCACTTTATAAACCATATATATTTGAGATACAATATGAGAGGTAACACTTTAATTCTTCTAAAATATTAACAATAAATTTTTAATATTACTTTCTATAACTTTTCAAGACGGAAACAAATCAAACAAGTCATATTTGCTCTATAGAAAGCATATTATAAACCATCACCTCCGTAATACAATAGTCATCTCTATTCTTTGGAAAGTAAATTATGTAGCAAGTTTACTTCCCAAAACAAAATTCAGACAAGTCTAGCAAATTTTCCTATAAAAGCCTCTTTCACCTTGCACCAAAGCATATCATTTAACATTTGAGACCAACTTCAATAAATATGGCTAAGTTTTTGAACTCTATCATTTGTTTCTTTCTCATTCTTTCAGGTTTGGCTTTCTTTCTCAAAAAATCCTTCTTCTATGTTTCTTGTTTTGTTTGTGATAAAAGAAGGCAATGCTAATTCTTCTTTCATTTGATATAATTTCATTTGGTTCAATTTGGATGCAGTTGCAGTGACAATTACTCAAGTAAATGCCCAAAATAGATGTATGGTAACATTGGATCCAAAGGGATGTGTTCTTGCTGACTGTCAAAATATTTGCTCGCAAAAATATAATGGGAATGCAGTTTGCACTGGTGGTAATGCTGGCCCATTACATTGCGTCTGTGTTTACAATTGTAATTCCAATTAAACACCCTTTTTAATGTACCTTTGATCCAACACAGATACTGATCTATTATGAATGAGTATCAATAAATATTTGGCATTCTTTTTGCTAAGATATGTTTCATACGTTTTTAATTCATTTACCAATCTTTTACCGACTATTTTATCATATCTAGTTGGTTTACTTTTTATCGTCACATGTCATTGGCATTTGGCATCATGAATTTCTGATGAATATCTTTTTTCACACCCGACATATTAGAGTAAGCAATGTTCGTGGATTTACAAGCATTTCTTTCGAGTTAAAATTTTAAATATGGACGGGATAAAAAGATAGGGATATTTCCTATAGGTAAAAAAAAGGATAACTGTTTACTCGAAAAACGGATAGAGTTGAATTTATACGTAGTTCTAAGGGTACGTGGTATAACTTGACGCAAATCAGAAAAGTAAGTAGAAATATATCGAATATTGACCGTAAAGAATGAAATACGAACCAATATTGAATAGAAAGCGATTTTATGAACAAGCAAGATGAATCAATGTATAAAGCTCATAAGAGGATAATCTCTATTGTATTTATCTGTGAATAGTAATATCTGAATATGAGAGTGTATGAATGCCTTAATGTTGGATGCCCTTACAGAAATAATAGCCATCCCTCTTATAGTGGAGGGATCATACTTTGGATATAATTAAAAATATATAGTGGGGAACCTATGATAGATTAGCTTTTCCTTAATTCCCGCCGAGATTCTCTCTCTTAGTGCGGCTGTAACGACTCTTGTCTCTTGGCTCGATCTTGATCGGACTTGGTATTGGTCGATTTTCATATTTAGAGCTCGATATTGACTAGAGCTCGATATTGACTCAAGGCCCGGTATTGACTTTGGGCTCGATATTGGTCGGTCTCTGGCTCTCAAGCTCGATAACGACGCTTCGCATCATAGTTCGATTTGGATTCGAGCTCGGTAACCTGGCTTCAGATCTCATCCCGATATTATGAAGATGACCTTCGGTCTATTATGTTCCAATCTTGACTAATCATATGAAGATCGAAACCGGTTTTGACCATATACAGATAGTCCCCTCGTTTCTCGGGAAGAATGTGGCGAGAAATGACATGATTTTTCAACGATATGACTAGATATACACTGACGTTTGCGTCGAGCCCGACCATGACGTATATGATAGATGTCCCGTCGGTTCAGTTACCAAGGCATTAAATGCGTGTCAAGCGATGGTCGGTCATTGTTGATATTGAACCGTCATTGCCAACCCTATAAATAGCCCCTCTTTTTACCACTTTTTACTTTTACATCTCCAATTTCCAAATCTTCTAAGTTCCTCTTCGCATATTCTGAGTTCTTCATCTGTAAATTTGTGATTTTTACTACAAAATCTCTCTTTAGAATACGAAATCTTGTCATCTCCCTTTTTCAATCTTCAAATCCAAATGGCAAAAACGTCAAAAACTGTTCCTCCAAAAGAAAACGCTTCTTCTTCATGGCCTGCTGGCGACAAAACACCGGTGGAGCCACGACCTGAGGAATGTGTTCCCGGGGGGTGCGTTCTCACTTCCAATTTCAAAACCGACAAAGCCTCGCCGGTCCCCGGTCGATGTAAGCCGGTATCGAGGTATATGTGCTCGATAATGGAGGGACACCTTAAACAGTTAAGAAAAGATTGCCACTGGAAAAACAAAGAAGTGATAATCCCGGCTCCCGAAGAAGATATTACTACTCATGTGAAAGGGGTTTTAAGTGTTTACACTTACCCTTTCACGTTGGGTCCCCTCGACCCCGTTGTCATCGATTTTTGCTGCCAATACCAAATAACCTTAGGTCAAATCCATCCTTCTTTTTGGCGAATCGTTATTCTGATTCGCTTCTTCGTGAACAAAGTCAAGGGGATGACTTTCACCCTCGATCACCTTATCAGGTTATACAGCCCCCGCCTCTATTGTGGTGGGTTAATAAAGCTCCAGCGCCGGGCTAACAAAGTGTTGTTCTCGAGCATAGATGAGGACAAGAACCGAGGCTGGATGGGTTGGTTCATTCGAGCGAAGACTTCCGACCTAATCTCGGTCGAGAAGATGCCATTTCCCGAGCAATGGAACATGAGGGAGATTCCATCTCGAGATGAGGGCTGCAGAGATTCCATCTCGAGATGAGGGAGTCTTACAAAAAGAATCGGGCGATGTCCCCGAACCGTCGAGGATCGAGAATGCCTCCCACCATAATGAGCCAACGGTGGGTACGACTGTGGGGGCTGATCCCGAGACTCACCGAGATGGAGAGATCGCCCCAAGTGATCCACTTGGGGTAATGGAAATTGGAGGCTTCCCGCTGCTACCCTCGTTTTCCGAGGAGATGATTCAAGAGGTTCGGGCCTTGAAGACCCTCTCCATCGAAGGAGGCCATGGAAAGGAAGATCCCTTCCTTGATTATTTTACTGGGGTCGAAGATGCTACTGGCCTGAGCGATTTGGAGGTCTCGAGGAAGGACTTGGGTGAGGCATCGAGCCCTTTCCACGAAGTGCAGCAAGCTCTAAATCGGGTAAGCCTTTTCTCCTCTTGTTGGTATTACCCTTGTGTTTGTTTTTCTCTTCCTATCTAACTTCTTTTCCTCTTTCTGCGTAGGCCTTAGCATCTAATCAGGAAGCATTTTCTCGATCTCGAGCTGAGTTGAGTCGATATGAGGCCGACCTTCGGGGGCTCATGGAGGAGAGGAATGCCCTTAAACTTCTCTGTGGGCAAAGAGAAGAGGAGATCAAGGACCTCCGAGCCGAATTGGCCAAGGCTTACCAAGACCAGAACGAGAAGGTAATAAAAATCTTAAAAACTCATGGGCTCGATTCAGGAACGGTGGCTAATATTTCAATCTCACAGCTATAGCAGAAGATTGAGGTGATCGGGCAGCTCCGTGAGGAGGTTGATATGATAAAGGCGGAGACCCTGGATTGGAAAGAAGGTATGGACCGCTTTGCTGCAGAAAAGGAAACTGCTTTATCTAAATTGTCATCGGCCGAAAGTCAGCTTTAAGGCATGAAGGAAAAAATCTCAATTCAGGCGAAGAGGATAGAGGAGCTCGAGACCCGGCTGGCTTCCGAACTTGCAAAGGCCAAGTCTGAAGCTGAAAAGGCAAAGGTCGAGGTAGAGGTGATTGTGGCCGATTATCGAGCTGATGCTGAACTCGCTTAAGTACAAGCAAGAAAGACAGCTGAGATCACTCAAAATCTGGCATATTGGATTGCTGAACTTGCCAAATGCCAATCTCGGAGGGAAACCCTCGAGGAGATCCATGCTCGAGGTTTCGACCTTACCGAAGAGATAATAAAGGCTAAAGAACTTGAAGCCGATGCTGGAGACTTAGCTTCTGATGATGACGATGATGATGATGATGAGAGTAAGAGTGGGTCTTAGAGCGGGGAGGAGCTTGATGGAGAAGAGATTGCCCCTGGAGAAAATCAGGAACCTTAGGTTTTTTTTTTTTTTTATCTTTTTTATATTTTTGTGTAGGGTCCTGATGAGACCTTCTAAAGACTCTCATGTATATAAAGATTTTTTCCTTTCCTAACTTGTCTTTGTTTCATTTTTTGCCTTGTGAAAATTTTGTTTTATTCACGCCTTGTGAAAGTTCTCATAAGTTTAGGGCTTTAAGCAATTTGATCGAAGTCTGACCTTGTAGTCTTTATAACCGAGTGAGCGTTTGCTCGAACTTAAAGTAATGTAGCCCGTAGACTTTATGGTTGAGCGAGTGTTTGCTCGAGCTTGAAGTAAGAGTAGCCTTTAGGCTTAATAGTTGAGTGAGTGTTTACTCGAACTCGAATTAATGTAGCCCTTAGGCTTAATAGTCGAGTGAATGTTTTCTCAAACTCGAAATAAGGTAGCCATTGGGCTTTGTAGTTGAGTGAGAATGGTTTCTCGAACTCGAAGTTAAAGTAGCCCTTAGGCTTTATGGTCGAGTGAGTGCTTGCTCGAACTCGAAGTAAGAGTAGCCCTTAGGCTTAACAGTTGAGTGAGTGTTTTCTCGAATTCGAAGTAATGTAGCCCTTAGGCTTAATAGTCGAGTGAGTGTTTTGCCCGAACTCGAATCAATGTAGCCCGTAGGCGCTATGGTCGAGTGTGTGTTTGCTCGAACTCGAAGTAAGAGTAGCCCTTAGGCTTTATGGTCGAGTGGGTGCTTGATCGAACTCGCAGTAATGTGGCCCTTAGGCTTTATAGTCGAGCGATTATTTGCTCGAGCTCAAAGTAATGTAGCCCCTGGGCTTAGTAATCGAGTGAGAATGATTTCTCGAACTCAAATTAATGGTAGAACTTGGGCTCGATAGATAGTCCCCGAGTGAGAATGGTTGCTCGAGCTCGAAGTAATGTAGCCCTTAGGCTTCTATGGTCGAGTGAGTGTTTGCTCGATCTCGAAATAATGTAGCCCGTAGGCTTTATGTCTAGTGAGTGTTTGCTCGAACTCAGAGTAGTGTAGCCCTTAGGCTTAATAGTCGAGTGAGTGTTTTACCTGAACTCGAATTTATGTAGCCCGTAGGCACTATGGTCGAGTGAGTGTTTGCTCGAACTCGAAGTAAGAGTAGCCCTTAGGATTTATGATCGAGTGAGTGCTTGCTCGAACTCGAAGTAATGTGGCCCTTAGGTTTTATGGTCGAGCGAGTGTTTGCTCGAGCTTGAAGTAATGTGGCCCTTAGTCTTAGTAGTCGAGTGAGAATGATTTCTCGAACTCGAATTAATGGTAGCCCTTGGGCTTGATAGATAGTCCCGAGTGAGAATGGTTGCTCGAGCTCGAAGTAATGTAGCCCTTAGGCTTTTATGGTCGAGTGAGTGTTTGCTCGATCTCGAAATAATGTAGCCCGTAGGCTTTATGTCGAGTGAGTGTTTGCTCGAACTCGGAGTAGTGTAGCCCATAGGCTTTATGGTCGAGTGAGTGTTTTCTCGAACTCGGAGTAGTGTAGCCCATAGGCTTTGTGGTCGAGTGAGTATTTTTGCCGAAATCGAATCAATGTAGCCCGTAGGCGCTATGGTCGAGTGAGTGTTTACTCGAAC